TGGTAGCGACAATTCGATATGGTTCAATTATTCGCGAAGGAGCCTAAATAATAGATAGGTAGAAAACTAGATAGATGATACAAAAAAGACTGATGATATATTTGAGAACTCAGACAAATCGAGCTAATGGTGACACAAGAAGTAAGTTCGTGATTTCAAGTTCATAAAACAACTCTTGCCAAATGCCGCTCCTTGAAAGCGATGATTTATCGTTGTATGGTTACTTATTCGTTCCTGGTCATCACTTTTATATTTAATTGTGCATTTAGTTCAAATGGTGCAATGGACACGAACGTTCCCCAATGCGTTCTCGGTTATTATACTTCCCAGAGCTACTAGATCTCAATTGGCAATCCGTGTTACTGCTACGAGATAAACCTGATCGTCCATTCGATATAAATTTATAGATTTATTGCTTGACCGTCTCCAAGTTAATAACATTTACTCTCAGTCCAGCTGTCCTCGCAATAGCCACTACAATGTGTTTTATAACGATATTTCGTTTCGATCGGGCTACTGCTAAAGTTGTGAAAACCATTGAACGCGAACGACCGCCAATCGGTTGGCCCATTTCAACGTTTTCCTGTGGCTGATTCTCTAGTTCCTACATTTAAATAGATCAGGCCACCAGGATTACAGAACTAGAGCACGCAGTGTTTGGTTTCGCAGTCGTTCGTCATTCCATACCTTTTCCTTTTTCTTTGATGCAAAATCGAAAAATGAAAGATGTACCACCCATTTTTACCCTATCGCTTCAATTTCTCTCTGTCCGCCACGACCGCCCACTCTTTCTTGAACCCGAATCACTCGGCTCGTGCATCCATCCCATCCCTTCATTGTGCGGACTAGATGCACATAGAGCTCGAGTAGCTTGAAAGCCGGCCCATTGAGGAAAGAGTGGCAGAAGGACGCCTGCGAAAGAAACGGCGGCGCCCAGGATGTACAGCGAGAGCAGACGAGAGAGCTAAAATCAGAATGAGAGAAAAGAAAAGAAGGCAAGTTATACTGAATGCTGGATTTTTGTGTTCTGAAACGTTGGACGCGAAGCTTGGTCCTACAGCAAAGGACCTGCTGGCCAGCTCGCTTGGGTCCAGTTGGCCTGGGATAGCTAGCGGGCCGATCAATCTGTAGAAAGCCTACCATAGCTGCCAGATCGGCATTCAGAGAGAGGTAGACGCTGTATGCGAAAGAGAGCGGGAATCAGAAAGAAGTTAGCTAAGCTGCGCCTCGATCGAACGAAGGGACGACATACGGCAAAGAAAAGATAGCCGAAAGCAAGAAGGAAACGAGCAGAAAGCAGAAGAAAAGCAAAGATCAAACAGACGAGATCAGATGAAAACGAAGAGCTTTCGCCACTCACTTGAAGCGGACTTGAAGGGTCCGTGGTCCGCGATGCTACTAGCCGTAGTCATCTTTGCTGTTCTAACAAAAGTCCCCTGATATCAACGCGAGTTCTTTTGGACGGACCGGCCTCTGCCGGTGAAGGGCAGTGCCTCAACCGAGCGCGGCGGTGGGCCCCGAGGCGTCATGCCGCACACTTGCCTCTCCTCTACGTTCGGTTCTTTTCACTCACTATGGTTCATCTTTTGCTTGTTTCTTGTGCTACTCCTCTATCTTCGCCTTCGTCACCACTACCTCCCTCTATGTACAAATATATTCCCTTTAAATCCCCAGTCTTCCTTTAGCCGGCGATCCAGCGGACAATCTTTTCGTTTTTGGGACATAGTGTAATTCAGTGGTATGTTGCAACATTTAACGCCACATTTTCGGGCCAGTCGCTCTTAGGTGTTGGTGCATGTCTTGTATCTATTTGGTGATGTGTAAGGTGAGAGAGGGGACGAGCTTAAGGGAGTGTGCAACCTGGAATGGCTTTCAATGGTCACCATTACGAAAACACCCATTTCTCAAGCTAGTGGACACGTGGTCGCGGTAAGAAGCATGTACTGCTATAGCTGAGCTTTCTGCTGGACTAAATTTGCTAACACCATAATACAGCAGTGTTAACCGTTAATTTCGACTGGGGCGTCGCTTGAAAGGAACACGATTATTGTTCAGCACTGCTTAATCTTCACTGATTCGCTTACTGCATCAGCAAAACTGAAAGCTTGTATAGGCAAGCGATCGAAGGAACGGAACACAAAGAGAACAATGTTACTGAAAACTTCTTAGCCAGTAACATTCCCGTTAGTATTTGGGCTATGCAAGGGCTGTGGCAAGAGAAGCTCTGTCGGTGCATTGGACATTGGCGCGAACGCATGTCCAGTGTGAGAAGGCGTGAACCGGAAGCGACCATAGAGAAGGGCCTCGAGGGCCATGACTCAGCATTTCCGCAGACACTAGAATAACCAAAGCTAGTCGGTAGCACCAAGGTTTTAACACTTAGCTACCAGAAGCTCTTTCTCGCATTCTCTTCGCTGAAATTGTGACCACTTCCGAAATGGCAGTGGCAATAGCGAGCAGTGCTTCACCACATTCGCCGCAGTACATATGCGGCAGAACGGCCGCCGAAGCGGTTATTACTGAAGGACTCATTGAAACGTTGACGGCAACCCTATGCTGCTATCCGCACACTTTTATACGCATAGTCGCTTACGGATCGTTTGCCGTGCTGCTGCTCCTAGAATAAGAAACTGTTGGCCGGAATTGGTACGATGGCAGGGTGCGGTCAAGGTGGCAGTCTTCGCCAAGAAACTGGACGAAACACGCATTAGGCCTGCCCCTCTGCGTCTAGCTGCTCTGCTTAGAAGGTTAATATATCTGTGCTTAAGGAGTTAGTGGCCACGGGTGCAAGTGACCTGCAGGACCCAGATTTCGCAATGGTTTCAAATATATAAGTGCATAAAGATATGGTACATTCATGAACTTCCCTCGCCCTCGAACGGCAGTAAGCCGGATATCCCTGTAAATAGCGACTTTCTTTCATATATGTTACACACACACACACACACACACAACATGAACCTGCACACACGTACACGCATCCACACACAATCACGCACCCACACCCACAACACACACTCATATACGCGCCGACACTCACACGTTCACCCACACATATTCGCAACCACACGCCCACACACACTCACGCACCCACACCTATTCGCAACCACACACCCACACACACTCACGCACCCACACATCTTCGCAACCACACGCCCACACACACACACACTCACGCACCCACACACACTTGCCCACATTCACTCACACCCAAACAGATACTCACACCCAAACAGACACGCACCCCCCAGACAGCATGCACCCAGACAAACATGCACTCAGAGACACACGCACCCACACACGCACACCCACACACACTCACGCACCCACACATCTTCGCAACCACACGCCCACACACACACACACTCACGCACCCACACACACTTGCCCACATTCACTCACACCCAAACAGATACTCACACCCAAACAGACACGCACCCCCCAGACAGCATGCACCCACACACTCACACATACACACGCACCCACACACGCACACTTACACAGGCACACGCACCCACACACTCACACATACACACGCACCCACACACGCACGCACAGGCACCCACACATGCACACTTACACAGGCACACGCACCCACACACGCACACATACACACGCACCCACACACGCACGTAAACGCGCCTACACACACACACACACAAGTGCGCCTACACACACACGCAAGTGCCCCTACACACACACGCAAATGCGCCCATATACACACGCAAATGCGCCCATATATACACGCAAACGTGCCTACGCACACCCACACGCGCCTACACACATATCCTTGTTTTACATGACGGGATCCAACTCAGTGAAGCGTATGGCCATCGTACATTTTGATACACCATCAACAGCCGTTTTTCTTCTCACGCATGCGGGCAAACACCAAAATATATTATTGCACATATACATACGTGTGGGTGAGCGTGGATTTTGAAAAGTGCCCGTTTGCTTGCTCCGCCGTAGAACGAGCCATGGAGCTCGTCATGCTCAGAGGTTACCAGGGCTATCACATGTCCCCACTCAGCCGATGATTCAAAGTAGGCGACGGTGGTGGCGGAAGCGGGGGTGCAGCTGTTCAGATGACCTCCCCCTCACTAAGAATAAGTGAAGCATTTGAGGAGACTGTGTTTGCCTCAGCTTGTTTCTGACTAACCGCTCGGCTCAAAAAGAAACGCAGAAAAATCTAAATCCAGCTGAGCTAATGCATCTCCTCATGGGACTACATAGAGCCGTAGCAGCAGCATATTTGTTCCCGTCTCTCGAGGTCTCTTCCTTCTTCTACCTATTTCTACCTCATTCAAGTTTGACTGTCCTCCATTGCCGTCCATTTCCCTGTCCGGCGTCTTCATTCAACTCGGTCCGATCAGCTCTCTACTTGTTATCCCTCCATCTATGCGTAGACGCATGTTTGTTCAGCGAGCAAGAGTGCGTGAACGAAGAAGATCGAGCGTTAGGGTGATGGAGTCAGCGGTAGCACGCGTGCATTAAAGCGGATCTCGTGCAGCTGGTCGGGATTATCTCACGAGGCTGAATAGCAGCGACAAGTAAAACAGGGGAAGATCGAAGTACGGGGGCTGACCGTTGCCTCGATCAGGACGAGGAGACGCTTAACTCCCCTAGGAAACGGCAATGGTGGCGGCGTCGGCGCGCAACACATTAACTATGTACATACTCGATTCGCTTGTAGAAGTGCCTACGTGCATACAAACCTAGACGCACACCTTCCTTAGATGAACGTGAGAAGAGAACAGGCCGTTTATCTTGGTCCACAAATCACCGCTTAAGTATATTGAAAGGTTGGGACGCGGGACGGAATGTTAGGCAGCAACAAAGAATTGACTATAGTAATACTACGATAAAAATAGGCGGTAATAAATTTGTGAGTATGAGGTAAAATATCCCTTGATATTATGTTCTTTTCTGGTACCTACTTGTTGTCCATTGCATCCACTAACCCCCACCACTTTTTTCAAATGTCTCTTACGCTGCAGGATATGCCCGTTGGCATTGCGATGCACTGGAGGGTCACTGGTACCCGTCGAAACCGGATCTGAAACAGTGCAAGTCGCTATGGGTCGAAAGTCTGATGGATCGGGTAAGTACATCTACATGCCTCTTCAATTAGACGCCATTGATTCAACGTTGAAACGCGACTTTTATGATATCGCTTTTACTGGTAGATCCATTCAAGCAAGGACTCTCAGAAAAATTGAAGGGGGTGAACAAGGGGCTGAGGCAAACGAGTAGAAAATATTTGAAGTGAAAAGATTCCATGCTGTTACTTTTCGTCATTATATTTATATGCAATGCATACTTATGTTTTCTGTATGTAGTAGATTCGATAGATATAATGTGAGATGATCTAGAAGGATTAAAAAACTTCCTTTTCTTTTTCGTTGAAAACGAAAGTAACCAAACGTTATTTTCGTTATAATATATCCTCCCCTGTTTGTTGTGTTAGATATTGAATTGCTGATACGCTGTTCCGATACTAGACGCACAATTGCTATCATCTACACATATTCGTGAAAAAGAACATTTTAAGTTACTATGAAGGGGAAAGCTTGTGAGACAATAATTATCTACCAAAATATCCATAAACATTCGTGTTATTACGCATAGTTCGGGTATCCAATTTTATCCTTTTCCTCACGAAATCTTCATACTCTTGTGAGTTGTAGTGGGATTATGGAAAGACCTTATGATAAAACAACGGATTCCAATAACCCTTAGAAGAAAAATTGTTAAGTGGTCGGAATATCCAAGTGGGCAGTTGGCGTTGCGGCTATCAGGCAAAACATCAAACAAATCGCTACAAAAAGACTGGTTTGTGATAATATTCCAGCTGTGCCAAAGGGCAACAAAGCCCGGGCACGCTGTGTCCAACAGGATTCTACAAGTCCTGTGTAATTGAACATGTTGAATACCTGGGCAAAGCTGTAACCTTTATCAATGGCACCGAAAACCTGCATGTTGTCAACGGAATAGTGAAAACAAAAAAAAAACACAATAAATTCAGGCGAAAAATGTTGCTCTAGGTGCGAGAACGATTCCCAAATGGATTCGGTGGTCATGCGTGTCAAACCGCTATGTCATGTACCTCTGAGGCGTTTATCACTAACAGCTTTAAAGTCTTGCTATGACCTGGGAATTCACCCGCCTTGAATCCGATTGAAAACGTGTCGCAAAGGACGAGTCACCTCATAACTCAAAAGGTACGGTATTCAGTGTGGGTCTAAAAGCCACATTTTGACTGTGTGTGGTAAGATAATGCATTCGGGTCATGCCAAACTGACTTGCAGAAGTGATAGTAGCCAAAGGTGGGGAAACCTACAACAGTTAAAAATGCCTTTCCAACGAGAGTGTGTTCAATCTCTAGAAAGTAGTCTTTACTTAAAAAAAAAAAAGACTGCATATAGATATTTAATTCCGACGATGAACTCGACGATATGTGAAAGTGTTGGGTGGCCTCATTTGATTGGACAATGGCTATATATAAATCTATATATATATACAGCAGAATTATTAACGAGGTGGTGGTAATAATGATGAATGTAATATTGCTAGGCGTTTGCACAGCCTAAGTCTAATAGTTAGTGGGAATTAAAGTAGGCCTTATTCATAGCAACAGCAGTAGGCTGCGAGCTATATGGCTAGCAGGAGATTACGGCATAAAAGCCGTCATTCGGCCCTCGGTTACCCAGTTGTTCGTATATCTGCAAAACTTTCTGCAGTCTTCCTGCAGCTTTATGCCCTTTGTGACTACGCCTCTATGAGAGTATATAATATGCCTAACAATGCTGGAGTCATGCAGGGCAAAGCAAAACAACGCTGCCTATCCAGGACGTTATCATTATCACAGACTCACTGACGCCAAACACTACCGAAATGTTCCTGCTGCTACCGCAGCGCAACTACCGGTAGCAGTAATAATGCGATACAGTTATAAGATACTATAACCCCACTGTAGCTGTAAATTGCTCATCCTACCGTGATAACTGCGTTTATAATCTTCGGTTTCTCTGAGTGACGCACGGAGGAACCGAAGTGTCCTTGCCTTGTCCATCTGTGCCTCTTTCGGTAGCCACGACTACAGTATAAACACTGGTCAATGTATAGCGCGTGTTGTGCGGGAGACGCGCAACGGGTTGTTTATTCGTAGCGTTAACTCTTGTAGTTTTTTTTCGCTCGTAGAGAATGAGAAGGTGCGGTGCGATGCCCCCGCCTCCGCAAAAGCGCATTCAGTTAGGATGTTAAGAACGAGTGAGGGTAACTTTTCGTGAGACATGTACTTGGAAGATCGTGGGGCCAGGCAGTCGATTAGTTGGATAGGAAAACAGACGGACGGATGTTGATTAAGAAAGTGGGACCTCGTAGTAGTCAGCAACAGTGCTAGTCAGTAGGACCGAAATACCGGGATGATGCGATGAAGCTCCATGGCTACGCCGCATGGTACGCTAGATAGCGGGACGGGCATTGTTGGGTTCGATAGTGCTTACGGTTACGCGGTCGGAGAGCGTAAACTATGGGTTGCTTACGATGGGCGGCACAGTCGGCACTCATGCAGGATAGCAGTTAGGAAATCTCCGAGACAAAGCCAACGGCAGTAGTATCACCATCAGCAAAAAACTTTGTGAGAGCGAAACGATGAAAGACAATGGGAATGGGTCCACCGCTGTGACGTTTACTGCCACGAACCAGCGACGGCGCTGGCGAGACACAAGGCCCGTGCCTTAGCCTCGAACACCGGTAGAGCTGTGGTAGGCAGGCAGCCTGCGAACCGCTCGATGAGGTCTTCCGGCAGCGGTGGCCACTTACAATGGCAGTCGTCTCGTGTTAACGTTGTCTGAGGTATCATTGTCGACGCCACTATTTGTCGCTCAGTGTACTATTAAAACAGCAGATGCTAACTGGCATCTAGCAAGCAAGAACGCGAGTTCCAATTTTCTATGATTGTTTGCATTTTTCAGCTAGAGAGGCAAGCGACAATAACAAATGTTTTCTCATTGCTAACCTCGGCCCCGTCCCGTCATTACCCAGCAAAGATCGACACAGGCTCGGGGCATGACAAGTTGCACCATCGACGGACGGGTGCAGCAACAATAACGGCCCTAGTTTAATAAAAGTAACCCCATAAACAAAGACTATAAAGATAGCTGAGCGGGCAGTAGCTACTCACAACGTGGATAGCAGTGAGCTTCGTGCAGAGCGGCTGGGTTTATGGGAGATGCCATCAAATTATACTTTTATCTTTGTCTGTTAGAAGGTCCTGCGATGAGAAATGGCGCAAGGCAAAAGCGGCAAACCCGAGCCTGAGCACTCCTAGAACGTTCTAGAATCTAGCAGAGGGACGCAAGCGTAAGTTGCATCGCGACGTTAGAAGACTTCGGGAAGAATCATCTCCGGGGTGTTTGGGATGCTTACTAGCAACAGTGATGCGTCCGTTAAATAGAAAGCGGCGCTCCTGTCTTGTCTAGAGCCTTCGTTAAGCGGCCTATTAAGAAAAGTAGAGATTAACTCTCAGATCGTTTGTCCGAATAAGAACCGTCAAACTCAAGAAAAAGCTCGAAGTCCATGTAACGATTGAAACGTTATATTATTATGATATTTCGAAAAAAGCCGGTAATAAGCCTAGTGCAATTATTTAATAGAATTAATTTTGCATTTGTTATACAGTTTGCGTTTATTTAATTAAGTGTTCGTTTCTTGACAGCTATAAAAATATAAGATATTTATTTCGAATTCTATCTATTTCGACTTGGACGAGTAAAAGGATGCTGGTAATGCATAGATGACTGGAAGGTTAGAAGAAAAATCGATTTTTCAGTATTTCAGTGGGAGGGATACATTCAATGCGCTTCGTAGCGTTAGTATCACCTGCAATTGTCAGTGCGGATTGGTCTTGTGACTCGCTAGATCCCTTACTGTATCACTCGTCTTTGTAGATTTCGTTTGTAGGATAGTGTTCTGAATATTTTTGGGAGATGGTTCTGTTCCCAAAATGTGTTGAATCCTCCCACAAGTAGCGCCACAAATGATTGAAACAGAACTGGGGAATTTATATGCGGCGATGCGGCAACCTCGTTCATGCGCAAGGTTGCCAACATAAAAGGAGGTGTTCTTGTTGAAGCATCATGATGGCAATATGAGGGAGAATTCGGCCGAGAAACGAAGCATGGTAATGCGCTGCGACCGCTTTTTGTAATGTGCTTGATTCACTTCAAATCGTTAGATATGTTAGGCGTTGCCAGGCAGACTGGGCACCCCCAAAAGTCGCTGGGGCGGCCGTGTTCGCAATGGCAGTTATTGTTCAATGATGTGGGGCCCCTTGTATAAAGGCCGTTCAAGGGTCAGCCAGTGATTCTGATTGGCTAAGGCGTTGCACCAGCAGCAGGATGATTCAAGCTGTAGATTTGTATGAACTCTTCTCACGGGGAATTGCATTTCTGGTTCGTTGAGATGTCCGATTTTCCCGAAAGATGCTTGATGTTGTTGTTTTTGTTGTCGTTGTCAATGGTCTACAGTGCTATAGAGCTTAATATCTTATGGCTATTGTAGCTATTTTCGGACAGCCAGTGTACGCCTGTGTATCAGCCCATATGTGGCGTATGGGCCAACGAAGCTGAGTGTATGGGCGAGAAGTGCGGTTGGTGACGAAATCGCCCCCGACAAAGCCTCACGGCCTGGCCTGCACCTACAAGACAGTCTGCTTGATGAGAATGTTCTCAACTGCCGACAGCTGTATTCTGCTGTTCGAATTGCTTGGGATTTGTAGGGCTAAACGGGGAAACAACGTGTGTTGTCCGCAAAACACCCCTATGGAACCCTTATTGCCGGTATGTTCTGCTCCTTGCTCCATCAACATTACGACTTCATATCTATTCACGCGACGTCTACCGTCACGGTGGTGCAATTCGTTATCTTGGCAGTAGATGCGCAGAGCTCGATAGCTGACGCTACTCTAGAATGCTTGAATACAACTATAGACCAGTCCTTCGATGGCGTCTTGCCCTCGATTCAAACCTATGTGTCACCGCGTACAAACACGGAATGCGTAATGCCGATGCGTGCCTGAATGCGCGCACGAACGTACTC